TTTCAAAAAGGCGGGGCATAGAGGAGAAACAATAATGTACAGTATGTGGAAAATAATGTGTTTTTTGAACTTTAAACCGCATAAACACATTTCATTACACCAAATACACAAAATAATGTTCTTTTTAGCAGCATCATATGACCCCTTTAAGGATCATGTGACACTGAAGACTGGAGTAATGATGCTGAAAATATACAGCATTAAATTGTAATAATATTCCACAATTTTTACTGAATTCTTGAACAAATAAATGCTGCCTTGGTGAGCATAGGGGACTAAAGCATTTTAAAAGCATCAAAAGCATTTTACCAACCCTAAACTTTTGAATGGTAGTGTATATCTGTACACATTGTATGACGTATAACGTAGTGCATGTGTGTGTTTCAGAGCGGCCGCTATAAGTACAGCAGTGTGTTAGGAGCGCTGCGGTGTGTGTGTCGGATGGAGGGACCGAAGGCTCTGTTCTCAGGTCTGACGGCCACGCTGCTCAGAGATGCACCGTTTTCTGGGATTTACGTCATGATCTACAGCCAGGCCAAATACACGCTGCCACCAGGTCTGTACACATGCTTCAGTTTTAAATATGTGTGTGATTAAATAGGATTTTAGCGGCTTAAATGGTTAACTTTACAAAGAAACTTCTGGCTCATATTTATTTTATGGGAAAAATGTGGATTGTGACACTTGTGCCTTAAAGCTACATGGGAGCTTTTTTTTTTTTTTTTAAAGCACTTTATGGGCGAATGCAATATATATTGGGGAATGCAAAAGCTTTGTAAGCAAGCACAAAATTTCTTGGGAAAATAAAAATTTAGCAAATTTCTCAGAGAAATGCAAAATTTTTGCATACAAACACAACATATTTTGGGGAACTGCAAACATATCTCAGAGGAACAGATTTTGTAAGCAAACACAACATTTCTTTGGAGAATGCAAAAATCTTGTATGAATTCACAGTTTCTCTTTGGAATGCAAAGGTTTTGCAAGCAAACTAAAGGTTTGTAGTTTAAAAAATAGTTTTTCCTTCAAATCTTTTTTTTTTTTTCCATCATCATATTTAGTGACGTAACAGGCAGCAGGAATATTGCTCCTGATCTACAGATGTTTCTTCATAAGAGATAAGGAGAAAGAGTGACGTTGGATTGTGTAACAGCCATGTGGAACATTTCCACAGACTGTACTGATAAGCTCTCTCTCTTTCTCTCTCTTTCAGAGATCAGTCAGTCGTCTTACGCTCCGCTAGCAAACTTCAGCTGTGGTATTCTGGCCGGTGTTCTGGCCTCTATTGTAACCCAGCCGGCAGATGTAGTGAAAACTCATGTTCAAGTGAGTCCAGACATCTTCTGCAGGACATCAGATGTGATTCGATACATTTACAAGGTAACAGATGCCCTGATTCTCCCGACATGCACCTCTCTCTGCCACTTAAGACTGGCACTCAAATAAAGCAAGAAGCAACACAGCTCATCTAATCAGATCAGACCCAGAACAATTTGTTTTATAATGGTACTATATTAAGTGAAAAGAGTGAATGCTGCCTGTATAAAAGTGAAGTATGTCATTTCTGCAACAGCAGCATCACCAAACAGAAGGACAAAACTAGTGACTGTTTTCAGACAGGTTTCCACAAACACTTTCACCATCTGCTATCGTAGCTATATTAGAAGCCCTGTTAGAACACTCAAAAATCAGTTGGAGTTCCTTTTGAATTTTGGGGAAAAAAATGACACGCCTCATGTTTAAATCTGCAAAATTCTTCAGATTCCAAAAAGTCTGGAGATTCCATTGTGCCTCTTCAATATGAGTCTTATGAAATAAATAGAAAGGTTTGTCATTCACATTTTAGATCTGATTAAACTGACCTGCAGTGTTATTACAACTAAAACGATTACGAAACATTTTCATTAATTGAAATAAAATATAAACATTAGATGAAGCATTAGACTAAAAACTAAATGGAAACTAGAAATGTTGTCTTGACAACTAACTGAAATAAAATAAAAACCATGACTTTATTCATTTTTTTAATTAATTTTCATTTTCATCAAATTTTTCATGAAAATGTGAATTCAAACTCTTTCGGATCTTCCAGAAACTTGGTCAAGGAACAAAATTATGAACTAACTAAATGAATGAATAAATAACTGAAAATAATATATATAATAATATAAATAATTAAAAGCTAATTAAAACTCAAAAATGAAACCTAAAAAAATGAACCTTATTTAAATATATGACGATTTGTCTGTTAGGAGCACGGTTTGGTGGGGTTTTTCCGTGGTGCGGTTCCTCGCTCTCTCAGGAGAACCATGATGGCGGCGATGGCGTGGACGGTGTACGAGCAGCTGATGGCTCAGATGGGCCTCAAATCCTGAGACTGATCAAAACTACATCACACACTGAACGAGATCTTCACACGGGACGTTTCTTTGACTGTGATCCACACAGTTCCCCGAACTTTTTATTCTCAATTTACTGAAGTGAGAATCATGCTTTAAACCAGTGGTCTCAAACTCAATTCTTGTAATCCTGAAGACCTTGGATTACACACATTAGCTGGATCAGGTGTGCTTGATTAGGGTTGGAGCTAAACTGTGCAGAGCTGTGGCCCTCCAGGAATTGAGTTTGAGACCAGTGCTGTAAACACAGATGTGAACTTTAAAATGCACTTTATGTCCACTTTGCTTCTCTTGTCTGTTTGTGAGTAAATAATGCTGCATATGTTGTGCTATAATAAAGTTTTTATACGATGTACGATCTTTATGAGATGCTGTATGTTTGATTTTTGGTATTTTCATTTACATATATCATTTAGCAAACACAAAGCGGTTACATTAGCGGACTTTCGTAAGCAAAATGTTGTAGCGATATAGGCCTACAGATCATTTATTATATCATTTTTGAAAATGCCTATTTTAAGTGGAAGCAGAAACACGCTGTTTTTCGGGCCTGTCTTTTTAAATGCAAATGAGCTGCTGCTCCCGCCCCCTTTTCCAGAATAGAGCTGCGCCATTACAACTCGTACCTGCTAAAAAACATCTGTTTTGGTTCTGATTATCATGTTTATCGTGCTGAAATCATGCGGTTTAAACCATATGAGTTTAAACTTCTGATATACGGTTTTCTGAGCGCACACATCCGAAGCACACGGACAGAAAGCGGCTGTCACAGCATGTGAGTACTAAACTAAGTTCTCATTAGCACACAAGTTTACGTTAAAAACACACGAGTTACAAAAAACAGTCGGTTATGTCTGTGAAGGTAAACTGCTGGGAAATAAATTGCATGTTTATTTTAGATCTGTGTGGCAGCAGCAATATACAGTAAATAAATCCATAAATCCACTGCTCTGTTGTCTCCTCTGTGGCTGGGACTCTAAATAGTGTTCTGTGCTCGTCTGTGCAGCCAAAGACAGAACAGTTAGCATGTTTTGCTCAAACTTACGCCATGGCATTAGAACTAGTACACCGTTGTCGCTTGCGAAAACGCAATGAGGCGCCATGGGTGGAAACTTACTGATTGAGGGGTGGTAATATTATAATGAGATCCCTTTGCCATGTCACCAAGGGAGTGAAATCAGACGCGCTCGTTTTTTCAGATGCTTGCAGAAAAAGGCTTACCAAAACAAAGTTACTGGGTTAATCTTTTTCACGTTTCATTGGTTGCAGATCCAATCCTCCCTATACGCAAAGTAAGCAAGCTGCGTAGGCCCCCGAAACACCAGGGGGCCCCCTTGCTCTCAAAGATGATTTAATTTTAGTTTTGTTTTTGAATTTGGCCAGCGGTTATGAAAACATGAATGTTCATTTCTTTTAATGTGGTGTGCTGTCGCCCTTTCTACGTAAAAATCAGTCAAATCATGTAACGTGAATGTCATACAGTCTCTTGCTCGAGACAAAAAAAAAAAACAGTTGAAAGCGTACCGAGCCGCGGAAGAGACACTCCCCCCGGTTTTGCTTAGGGCCACCAGAAGTCTAGGATCGGCACCTTTAACACGATATTCGATTAGCCAATGGGGAAAACTTGCAAGGGTAAACGTGACAGCACCTTTACAATGAGGAAGAGTAAAACAAGTGATTCATCATGAGGAGGCAATAACATGAGCGCTAACAATATAACCACAGAAATTCTAATGGTTTCGTTGTGTGCATTTTTATAAGACTGTTTTCTGCTACCACTGAAATTCTGACCATTACCGCCCACTCTGCAGCGTGTCTGTTCCGCACCTGCGATTTTTTTTTTTTGTCCACTCCTGCCTGCTCCCACAAACATGTATATAATTTTCGCGCATCAGGGGGCCGCTATCAATATGCAGTATTAAAAATCGCTTTTGCATGAGCACTCGCGGTTCACTTTCACTTTTGATTTCGCGATCACGCGTGCTCTGTAAAGGAAGCACATCTTACAAGAACAGATATTTGTCAATGAGCTCAGGATCTGTCGAGCAGCAAATCCTCCAGCATGGTCTGTCAGTCATCTCTTCCTAATCTTGACCCCTGATCAGTCAAATCTGCCTCCTGCAGCTTTTGTTGGATGCAGGGTTGTCAAATCCGCATTTTTTTCCATGGAATTAGGCTACATTTAAAATGTTGCCATGGGTTGATTTTCCCCTGGTTTGAAATATTGCATAAATTACATTTGACTGAAATGCTTGTATTGAAACATTTTGCATCTACCTATGATAAAACTGTTTTGTGAAGGAGGGCCACTAGAAGCCTTTCAGCTGTGTTTATGATCAATCTGACAGTGACTGTATACTTTGAGTTTTGATGTTTGGGATATGGTCATTGCACTACTTTGGGGGCTACTTTAACCCCCTTTTTTCAACAGGGATAGTAGTTGTGTTGCAGGCTTAAATTTGGCTATGATTGACAGGTTAATTTTATGTGTTGTTTATTCAGAAAAATAAAATTATTAAACAAACTTTTTTTTTTTTTACAGACATTTAAGAAACAAACATTTTTTTACTGTCTGTCAGTATTTTCTGATCTGACTGAGGGTCATCAGCAGAAGTGAAGACTTTCTGAATGAAGGGAGCAGATAAGAGTGATGACCTCCAGCCTCTTACGCAAAACCCTTCAAACGATTCGAAGGAAAGTACACAAACCATTACAAGACAACAGCGATTACATGTGACATGCTGAACGAGTAATGCTTTACATTAGCTTCTGTGTTTGACATGTTCAATATTGCAACATTGAGAGACACTTTAATAAAGCATCAGTAAATTGTCGTTTCCTAATCATTCACATTCTTGAATGTTTTATATTTCTGATATAGCTAATTGAACATTTTTTAAAACCTTTTTTCCAAGAAATTTTCATTTGTAAGTTTCGAAGAGCTTTACCTACATAACTGTGCCACAGAGCGTCCCCCAAATAACATTCACTGTGCAGTTATCGCAAAAAAAGAAAAAGAGAAAATCCAAAAAAAAAATCAGAATCTTTATCATTTTATATATATATATACACACACACACACATGCATGCATACATATCTGTTATTTATTTGTTATTGGAATTATATTTTATTTTTTAATTATTATTTTTTTACCACAGTTTTACTGCAGTAACAATAAAAACGGCATTGTGGAGGAACCTATATAGCCACAGTTTTGTAAGTGAACATCCTGTTGTCTATGTAAGGCTCTTTACCAGCTAATTATTTTTTAGTTGTTTTGGTTTTCTGGAGATTTTCAGAGAGAACACAATGACATTTTAACCTAGTAAACGAGGGACGTGATGATCGTGCTCTAGTTTCATCCTTATTTACCAGCTAGGATTTATACTTTAACCTGTACAAGAAGAACCTCACTGATAACACACACACACACACACACACACAAGACACATTACTGTCCTAATTTTTGCAGCTCATTTTCACTTTCACTTCTTAGGTTTTTGGGATTTATGCATATATTCATATAAAATAAATGTGTCCTAAATTGTTAATTAAAAACATGGAAACATGTTTGTTGTGCACTGTGTAAACATTTGTGACACCGTCATTTAGGACATTGTCTCTCAGCAAACAAGTTGCGACAGAATGTACACAGTGTTTAACCGGGGAGTCACTCCGCGTCTCGCCATTGTCTTAATATGGTCTTTGTCTTAATATGGACAATCCATCCCGTGTGTCTTAATATGGTCCCCCGTCCGTCACAGCAGCGGCTTCTAGCGTAGAGGACAGAAAACACAGTACAGCGACTCATAGAAAAAAAATACAGAACACAGTCGCCATCCAGCGGCGAGGAAGCACAGTACAGCAGAAAACAAGCGCCTCCTGCATAGGCCTACAGTCAAGGAATAATTTCATTTATTTACTTACATATGCACAATGTATCCAAAACTCAGTCTTCACCAATTCTCCAATAAAGTGAGAGGCTAAATGAGCATTCATTGATCACATATTTTGCTGCATGTGATGATTATTATACACACAATTATAATTCACGTCTGTGGTAATTTTGTTCATAGTTTTCTCTGACCTCTTGAAGACATTTCTAACATTTCAACCATCAGGATTCTCCTGTTTTTAAAAGCTTGCTTCTCTTCCTTCCAGATTATCATTATGAATATATTTAGGATTTTTTTCAGATAGTTTTTTTTTATTTCCTCTGAGCTCATCTAGTAAACATTTGCATTTGATAGATTCTTCTTCTTCTTCTGAGAGAAGTTTTAATTTCTCGATTATGTCTAACATAACATACGCATGGCAAAAAGCAACGGAATCGTCAAAGACCATTGACCATTTATCTAGTGCATGTTCAACAAATTAAAAATGATGCAGGCAGATAAAAAAAAAACACTTGAATGGCCACTTATTCACACAACAGTAGCTGCATTTTCTCAGTGTTACATCTGAAAAAGTAGCCTTTTGTATCAGTTGTTTGTAAGTAAATATCAGCTTCAACCACTGTTCGTTATCTGTGTCCTTCTTACATATTTTGATTCGTTATGAAGAACCGCTTCAGATAATTCTGTGAGAGACCGGTCTAAATGCAAACCTTAAGACGTGCTTTTTAAACTTACAAACACCACAACCCCTTTCATACTATTATTCATTACAGGGCTCTACACTTACTTTTCTTTGTAGGAGAGCTTGTGCTCCTAATTTAAAAAATGTAGGAACATGGTCAAAAATTTAGGAGCACCTTCTAATCAGTAATCAAAAATTCTGATAAAAAATTAACCTTCCCATTACGAGGTGATATTTGACTCCTTAAAGTGATTTACAGGGAATTTTGTTTTTACCTTTGTAATGGCATTTTTCTAACTTTATTAAAAGTATGTCATCTTTTATGTCAAATTAAAAAATATATTTTTATAAGCTTTTTAACATTTCTAATTAAAACAACAGAATAAAAACCAAGTAGGATAAGAAGTAGAATAAGAATAAGTTATCAATCAAATGAAATCAGTATTTAAGAAATAAATTTGTGCTACAGAGGTGGCACAGAAGAACACACAAGTGGCTTGTAGGTGTATTTTCAGACGTTTAATGAGGCTCAGAGGTCGCATTAGTGCAATTAAATTCATAAATTCATGTCGAGGTTAATGTTTTAAA